ACAAACGTGTTTTTGAACCTATCAGTGTTTATTTTAGGATGGTGACTTGTCTCTTTCCTCAGATTGTACTTGGTTGATTTCTTTTTTGGCATTATAGCTCTTAAAGGGTGTATTGTATTATTAAAAACATTCTTGAAGATACGTGTGTCCTGTTGAACTAACAATTCATAAACATTAATGTGGTCGGATGTATACTTGCGCTTATAACATCGATCTAAGAAACATTGGATTGTTGTTAATTCGGAATTTACAGCGCCAAATACGGACAGCCCGTATAATATATTTGGTAGAACCAGATTTAGAAACAGATGGTCTATTTCGGCCTGATTGTACCCTTCTTTCCTTAAAGATCTTAAAATGAACAGGCACTTGTTTGCTTTGATTAGTTTTTCCCGAATATGTGTTATGAACCTTAAGCTATCCTGTCCCTCATTTTGGTCTCTGTAGTCATGTAGTGGTTACCACATCCGAGTCACATTCAGATGTTCACATACTCGAGCCTTGCCAGGAATATTTGGGTTCTCAGTAAAATTATTTGTGGACCTAAGGCCATCTCAAATTAATGCTTCGTTTCCCATCGCCCGACCGAGCCATTTTTTTTGGAAAAGTAAAAAAAAAAAAATTCCTGCATCGTTTTTAAAGCCTTTTTAGACATTTGACAGTCGTTTTAATATACATCTTTTACCATCTGATTATACCTTCAAGACTAAATGCGAGGTTTAGCATGCAAAAGTAACTGGAACACAAACTGAATGATTCTTGGAAAAGAACATTTCGTCAAGACAGCTTTTTTTATTAATTAAACAGTAACTTTCTAACAGTCTTGCTTGTCAATCTCAATCTCATAATGGGGGCGACTGAAAGTTTAGTTTTAACACGAAGTTGCATTCAAGGTTTCTTCTTCTTCTTCTTCTTTCCGGCGGATGGTGTTACTGTTTACGATGCGGGGACAACAGGCTTGGCACCCTTTCCCGAGCAGGTCCGACAAACAGGGTGAACCACTTTGTATTGGCCCTTCATCTTCATTCACTGGTGCATCGGGTTCTGTGCTTCCACATCTGCAACAGATCAGGTCAAACTTTTTGCACGAATAATACCGCTTTTCCACTGGATCACTGCATGAAATTGATCCTGGCGTACGATGAAGATTTTTTAATATTAATTAATATACCACTGCATAAATTAAAAGAGGACAAAAACAACATTCTAAAATGGAAACGCACCTGAAGATTTCACCTCTGCAGGAGGAAAACCTGCACCAGGGTATAGGATTTTTGCGAGCTTCAGAAGATGGTTATGCAGTTCCACCCATTGCGTTGGATTTGCTTGCTCCTCTGCTGCTATTCCCGGCGGAAGTATCTTTGTGCTCGCCGCTTTAATCAGAACGTCGAAAGCATTCAATGGCTTGACAGCTTTTGCCTGTGGTTCTTCGTCTAGAACATCAAAATCTACAAAGTTCGCGCCGACGACATTAACAATCGTTCCAACGTTTTCTACGAGATCGACTGAAACGAAACTAAATCTCTCGGTTCTGTATCTCCGGGCTTTTTAAATCCCACTCTACATTTGACACGTACATCTAAATCTCCATCATACACATCGGTGAGCACTTCTTGAAACGACAAGTTCTTTTCAACGAACTTTACCCTAGGTAAGGCCTCAACCCTCTTCTCTTTTAGTAATCTTATCACAGGTGCACATGAATTACTGTCTCCAAATAAAGAATAACGAACGAAGAAACCACGGTTCTGTCCTGGTGTACCGGTTCACAATGGAAATACCATTGTTCTTTCTTTGTTTAGGAGTCATCGGTTAGCTACTGTGTATTGTTTGGTCCTTTGTATTGGCTCTTGTGAAAGGGTACACGAGGACAGAACCGAAAGCACGTTTTCCAGTTAACTTTGTAACCAAACTTTCGTACTTAGGAGCCCGGCCTTCTCAGCCACCCAGACCCCTTCAAGTGTTGGTTTTTTTTTTTTACCCGACCGACCAAGAGGGAGGGCGGTGGGAAACGAAACATTAAATTGAGATGACCTAAATAAATGTTTGTGCTAAATTTTGAAGGATATGGTCGAAAAGGAAAGATGCGCCAATGATGAAACGATGCAGTTGATACTATAATAATAGCTGACCAGTACCTTTCTTGGCTTCTTACCTCTCTGATTACGGTGTTTCCTTCCAGTTCATATGCGTTGCCACGTTTCATTTTTCTCTCTTTTTAAAATCATTTATAAGGAATAGATCTGACATGAATAAAACTAATGCTAACAAAAAATGTTGAACGAAAGTATGTTAGGTCCGTTAGCTCAGTCGGCAGAGCGTGGTGCTGATAACGCCAAGGTCGTGAGTTCAAGCCTCACACGGACCAAACAAATCTAACTTTTTTTCACATATACATATGGTTCTTTTCCAAACCTCTGTTTTTCTTCCATCCTCTGAAACTACATCACAATGTTCTTCATTAGTGAAAAAATAGGTCGCAGGTGTTGTATACCTGTAACTATGCGTTTAATTTACACAGATGCGAAGATAATTGGAAGAAAACTAATTATGTATAAAAACAATCTGTCAGAGTTAATGAAATACTAATTTTCGAAGCTTTACAGCCTAAGCTGCATTCAAACTTCCCAGAGGATACAAGGATATATAGGCCAGGGGCTAATTGATCGGCATCCGAACTGATACGTATACGAGTCTTGTAATGTTGCTCGTTCTTCTCAACCAGTGTACTTCTTCTATACCACGATAAACGACAACAACAACAACTTTCAATGTCAAAGATTTCCTAAACTGAGAGGTTTCAGAGGGCAGTATTAGGAGGGCAGGTTAAGGCAACTTTAACGACTATATCCAGAAAACATCACTCGCTTTAAAACTGGGCCAAGGTAGCTCAAAGTGATTATCTGAAAACACACTTAACACCTGCTTCTCATAAAAAGAAATTCACATATAAAAAAAGTTTAATATCAATATTAATAAGGCCGGTTGGTCTAGTGGCATGATTCTCGCTTAGGGTGCGAGAGGTCCCGGATTCAATTCCCGGACAGGCACATTCTGTCTTGAATAGGGTAGAGATTTTGAACCTTGATTCTTTCAGATAATGCCAAAGAAATTCATCTCTCTATAGGAATGATCGGAACGTTTATATTTCTTTTGACTGAGTTGTGTTTTAGTGTACAGACATCACAATGTCCACAATGGTTGATGGGCGAAATAAAGTAAAACAAAAGACAACAGTTCCAATCAACAGTCATCAAGTGATGTCATAAGATTTTTCCGGTGGCCCATATCAACGTTCACGTTCCTCATAATTTGCATTAACATGTTTGGTTACTGTGAAACCTGCGTCAACTACGGTGGCATCATAGTGAGCAGACATCCTCTTTTGAGAGAATATTAGCTTATGTCCTTATCAGATACAATGTATTATGAAGTTCATATAGTTTGAACTGCGGTATTAGATATGTATGATGCACGATCCTCGCAGTAGAGAGCGCTATTTATGCAATAGCGAAAATCAGACCTCAAAAAAATCAGGCCTGTACGGGATTCGAACCACTGACCTCTGCGATACTAATGAAGCGCTCTACCAAATGAGCTAACAAGCCAACTGGGAGCAGGCCATTAAGTTGATTCGTAATAAACCCGTGAATGTGATAAATGAGATAG